TGCTGTTCTGCCCTCGCGACGAGTTCCCAAGAAGACTAGTCACAATGCAAAGCCGAAACTAACTTCGATGTCGCCAGTGAAGCAGACCCGCAAAGGAATGAAACGCACTGCCACAAAAACAGTCGCCAAGAAGCAGAGTGGAAAGCTTTCAAATGCTTCTCCAGTGCTGAGTCGTCGTAAGGGCACCAGCAGCAACTTGTCACCCAAAGTGTCGCAGCAGTATTCCTAAATGCGCTTAGCGGCATTTGCTTTAATGATAACTTGCCATTAAACTGAACACAAACACTTTAGTGAACTACTAGTTTTTTGTCCTTTTCAGCGTTTAACCATTGAAACTGACTTCTTTTTGCGGATCAGCTTTCCCGAGCTTCGCTTTTTGCCAACACCTACCGAAGAGAAATTAGAAACTGGTATAAAAGGCACAATGTGTGCAAAGACTCACTTTTGGCGACTGACCCACTCGTTTGTTTTGGTATCTTTGTTTTACTGCTTCTATTTTTCCACATCCTCGTTTTTGAGCCAGCAGGCAGAGACGCATTCGGCGACACTCGCATAAGCTTGGAGACGGACTGCGATTTTTGCTGGTTAAACTTGGGGTTGTTCAGCTTGGGGCTTTTTCGAGAGTTCTGCAGTGAAGAACTGTCCTTTGTCTGCCCACTAAAGTTGGTAAAGTAGATTGTCTTCTCATAGGAGCCTTTCTTGTGAACCAGGTAGCGACTTTTGTTGTTGTCTCCTTTCTTGCGAGGAGCCTTCTCAACGGGTACCTTCGCCTTCACCACGGGAGTCTTTTCGGGTGTGAATATTTCCCAGCAGCAGCAGATGCCGATGAAGACAATAAACAGTATGGTACATATCCCAAGGATACCCAAAATGATGATGATTAGAGTAGTAGTTGGAAAGCCGACCTTCTCAGTGGTTGTCACGATTATTGAAGTCGATTCTGCATCTTCATCTGCGCCGAGTAAAATTGAATAACTTCCGTTTTGTAGTGACATCTTGCAAATGACACTAGTAGGCTAAAACTAAGAGAAACTTTGGAACTATCAAACCTCTCATTTAAATCTTCTTTAAACAGGCATTCTTTTTGACTTGTTGTGTATAACAATTGTTTACTAAAGATTCTAAATATTACAGTTAAACAACATTCACCTTGAAAACAATCAACTAAGGAACTGTTTGCTTAGCACTAAACTGTACCATATGCTGAGAGAAAGGACTGCCAGCGGGCAGTTTGCCTAAATTGGTCAGACGAACTGAAAAAGGCAGAAATACGTTAGTCAAACTAAATATAAAAAACAAACAAGTTCCCTTACTTCTGCAAGGATCATATTTGGAAAGAAAGTTCTCCAGCGGGTCCCAGCCGCCTCCGACACGAACCATGACAGTGCTTCGAAGGATTCTCACCAGACAAGTTCGATTTGAGTTGGAAATCTAAAGTGCAAAATACTTGTTAGTGTCTGTTATAACTTGAGTTCCTCAAGAATTACCTTGTACTTTCCACCGCCAAGCCGGTGCATCCGCAGAGGTATTGCGCAAGTGCATTTTTTCAACTGCCTCTGCATTTCATCCTCTATAATCACCGTTTCAGCGGTCGAGCAAACATTCTCTTCTGAAGTGATAAGCACTTCTTCGACCTTCTCTTGCGTGTCTTCTGCAAATCCATCCACTTCGTCTACTGCTGACTCTTCTGACTGCTGTTCACGTTGGCTGTTCTCTTTCACTGCATTTTCCTCCTCTTCATCATTTCTTTCCTCCTCAGAGGGTGGCGGCAGTCTTTGATAGATAAATAGTGCAATTGATGCGGCCAACACTAAAACTATAACTCGATGAAGTGCATCGTGGAGGACCTCACTCAGTACCTCCAATGATAGGAAGGCCATTGGTACACAAACAAGAGCAGCAGAAAACTATTCACCAGTTATACCAGTCGAGTCGATGAGATTTGTTGGCAACATTGACACCGACGCGATTTGTGTCTATCAACTAAGTTGGCATTTGAGGTGATCGATTCGCAGGTGATTGTAGCTATCCGTTGTCAGGATGAACCAGGTGATGGTCTCGTAGAGAAGGAGAGAGAGCAGTCTTTGAGAGTTATCTAAAGTGCAGGAGTGCACCTTTTATTATGTTATACAGTTACACACTGTGCTGTACGAGCTGACCAGTTTCTGTATTCCATGTTTGAGGTTGCGCTTTGCCATCCGGCGAAAAGATAACCAACGTATTATTCTCTGTCGTTTCCTGGGTTTTTTCGTTTGAAGTAGACACAGAAAAACTTCCGGTACTGGAGATACTCTTTGGGCGTCCTGTGTGCTCCGAATTGCTGGCTGGCTGGCTTGACGGCGTTAAATCACCGCCTCGGAAAGCTCGTTTCAGTTCACGCGATCGCCTTCGTGTGTACCCATTTGAAGGACGGCGACGTTTGTTTAGTGGGTTTGAAAGTACCTCAGACTGGTCATCATCTTCAAAGGGGCTTTGGGTCATCTTTAACTGCCTTTTCCTGCCAACTTTTTGTCGATCTTTANAAATCACCGCCTCGGAAAGCTCGTTTCAGTTCACGCGATCGCCTTCGTGTGTACCCATTTGAAGGACGGCGACGTTTGTTTAGTGGGTTTGAAAGTACCTCAGACTGGTCGTCATCTTCAAAGGGGCTTTGGGTCATCTTTAACTGCCTTTTCCTGCCAACTTTTTGTCGATCTTTGCAGCAGTCACAGAGTATGCAAAAGAGAATTATTGCCAAAATCGCCACCAGGACGCAAATGATGTAAATGAAAATGTCTGAAACGTAAAGGGCATTTTAAGTTAGCGCACAAATATTTTTATGCATGCAGAACCTGTTGAACTGTTGTTCGTCATTGATTGATTCTCCTTCTTCTTCTAGTTGACTGGCCAAACACAAATCACTTTTTGTGGAGCTAGGAAATCGGCTAAAAGAGAACAGCTGATTATTGTTGATGTGTTGTTTTTAATTCTAAACTTGAACAACAATGAGTTTTACGAGTAGTAAAAGACAGACGGTTTTTGGGAACAAATGCACCTTTTTTGTCTTGTAAACGTATTCCGTGTATTAAAGCAATGTCTGACGCTTCAAACAAGAACGCTTCTGGAAACGGTGAGACGGACGGTAAGCAAGCGGCGAGCGATGCGCCAGTGAAGGGAACCAGTTCGGCTGAATCGGTGGTGAAGGAGATGGTCAGTGCAACGGGCAGTGAACTGCCGGTGAAGAGGAGCCCATCGGCTGGTCGCGAAGCCAGCTACGTCTACGACGTCCTCAACCTGCCCAGCACCGTGGACACCACTGGCATGCGACCGAATCCTCGATTCGAGGTGAAGCAGCAGTCCACCTTCGGACAGGACCTGCAGGAGCAGTCCAAGTCGGCGGATGAGCTGGTGCAGCGCAAAGAGTCCTCCTACATGTACAAGGAAGAGCTGGCCAAGATTGGCAAGGTCACCTTGCCCGCCGCCGTCGTGCCGCCTCGTTCGGAGAAAGACGGCCCTGAGTTTCGACTGTCTGAGGATGCAAACAAAGCTCATCTATTTTGCAGTCCATGGCCGTGGACTGCCGCCGCCAGCCCTGAGGTNGTCGTGCCGCCTCGTTCGGAGAAAGACTGCCCTGAGTTTCGACTGTCTGAAGATGCAAACAAAGCTCATCTATTTTGCAGCCCATGGCCGTGGACTGCCTTTGCCAGCCCTGAGGTGGTTCAGAAAAACCTTGCCGCCATCACCGAGAAGAAGGACCGAGCCGTACGAGTGGCCAATGAGGGCATCCTAAGCGGCAACGACTTTACCCTTCTCCGCGAACGCCGTCTTTTTGCCAACAAGCGCAACACGTTCTTCCTGGGAAAGTACAAACGACAGCTGGTGCTGGTGAAGAAGGTAACTTCCAGCGCCACAACTGTGGCCACCACTGACCCGTTGTGGGTGTCCATTGCCAAGCGCATCTCCTACTCTCAGCAGATGGAGGAGGACAAAGCGGTGGCCAAGGCACAGGCCATGGCCGCCATGGAGTCATCAGTTGGCAGTGAGAGCACCGGCACGTCCATCAACGGCACTGAAGAGCAGGGCAGCTCATCGTCGACCGCTTCCTCGGAGAAGGTCAGCGCGGTGAGTGGCGTTCAGCACCTGCCAGGGCGTCCCTTTCTGCAGGTCTACGAAATCTTCCGCCTGGAGTCTGACCGCTCGCTGATGGTCTTCATGGAGATTGGCCTCAACAAGACGCTGCACAACCTCGTGAAGCGCCGCACTGCAGTGGACGTGTCGCAGGCCCGTCTCTGGTCTGCGCAGCTGCTCGACGGCATCACCTACCTGGTGAACCACGGCGTCGCCCACCGAGCCCTCCGCCTGGAGCACGTTCTCCTCGACGGCGAGCTCAACGCCCGTCTCATTGGCTGGCGACGAGCACTGCCGCTGACCTCAGGTGCGCTCACTCGCCGAGAGCGTCGTTCGCGTGCCAACAACCACCTCCCACCGGAGGCATTTCTCGGCAGCTACGAGCCCGCCAGCGTCGACCTGTGGTCCTGGGGCGTCCTTCTCTGCGCCCTGGCCACCTTTCGCTACCCTTTCAATGTGCGCACTCAGCGCGGCAGCATCGAGGAGGAGTGGGCGGTCTTCAAGGCCCGCCACCCTGCCTCCGGACATGCCCAGGTGATGGCCCTCCTCGACACACTCTTCCTCAATGATCCAGAGAAGCGAGCCACCCTGCCGACCGTCCAGAAGAGCGCCTGGTTCGGTGGAAGTGGAGGTGCACCGGTGTTGGACAGCAAGCAAGGTGGGCTGGTGCCTGAGGCAGGTCAGGTCGGCAAGTCGGCTAGCGACCAATCCCTCACCGGCAAGAATGCTTAAGACGGATGTTTGCTGACATTGTGCTCCCCTTGCCGACATCATTTTCATTTTCATTGGTTTTTCAATGTCTGCTACTTGGACAAATAAAGGCAAACAATTTACTGATTGCACGCTTTAATACTTTGAAAAATAATTAACAGTTTAGTAATACTTCTTAATGCTCATGAAAGTAGTTTAGGCACTTGAGTGGAGTCAATCAAGTGGACACCGACTTTTTCAAGTTTGATCATCTTCTCTTTAAGCTCTTCACTTTCGGCTGGTTGTGTAGAACGACAACAGTCTTTGATGATGTACGTGTTGAAGCCAGCACCAGCCGCATCAAGTGCGGTAAAGTAGACGCAAATGTCAAAGGTGAGTCCAACAATGAAAACAGTGTCAATGTTGATCTTTTGCAGATTTTCCTGTAGGTCCGTCTGTTTTGTGTGCTCGTTGTCCCAGAATGCCGAATAGCTGTCCACATTTTGGTCAGTTCCTTTTTTGATAATCCACTTTGGATCCAACTGTGGATCAACAATGAGCTCGCTGTGAAGCTTTTGTCCCTTAGTGCCAGCGATGCAATGGGCAGGCCACTCTTTGAAGGAAACGTGATCCGGCGGATGGGCGTCCATTGTGTAGACGATCTGGTCAAAGGTCTGCGTGGTCAGGAGCTGATTGATTGCCGGCACCACCTCTTTGCCATCCTCGCCGGCGGGACATTGGCGCAGCGCCAAAGTGCCGTCAATAAAATCGTTCTGTACGTCGACGATGATCAGCGCCGATCGAGGCATTCTGAGAAATAAAGAAGCAGCAATGATTTTGTTAGTAGATTGCGCCGCTCAAAGCGTCGAATCCTGGTTGCCTGGTGTCAGTGCAACCAGGGGAGGGGAGAGACTGCCTTGTCAATCAAACCTGCGGCGATGCACGTTGTTTGTGATTTCTACGCGTTGAATCTCGTTGCCAATGCGACCAAAACACCGTCGTCTCCCTTCTCGATGATCACCCAAATCGCCCCAGTAATCAATTTCTGGAAGCACCGGTGCAGCTGCCCTTAATTTCCTCTTAATCCGCCTCACTGTTGAAGAGCAGAAGTGAAAGTGAAAGTGAAATGGATACAGATTTGAAGGCTCGCCGGGAGGAGTTCATTCACGGGCACACCGGAGGCACTTTCGTCGAAGTTGTCGCTCTCACTTCGCTCTTGCAACTGTCACACATACTCTTTAGCTCCTTTCTCTTTGCCTGCCCCGCACTTCATCACAGTTGTACAAGGTAAGCTGCGAGCTTTCGAGGAATTATCTTCGAGTGGATCTGCCGACTCACTTTGGGAAAAAGGCATTTTTCATTTTGTAAACAACATGCCCAGTTGACATTTCTGACGCCAGAGGGCCACTGTTATGATTTTTTTAAATTCTTAAATTCTTTTAACTTACAGAATTACCATTATTCGCTGCGTCCTCGATTTCGTCGTGAACATCTGTCCTTTTTTGCTGTCAATTACAATCTTTTCATCGTACATTTATCATATTTTAATCGCTGAAATTGTTTTGATCATTGTCAATTTTACATTCTACTTATTCCGTCATGGCATTCCGTTGCGACGCGCCAAAAATCTTGGCTCCATTACCGTTCAGTATCCCTCACAGTCTTCTCGACTTCCTTACTTGTCTAACCTCATGTCAGCACTACTCCTTGCCACCAGCATTGCAATTCTTGCAGTTGATTTCCAGCTTTTCGATAGACGATTTGCCAAAACCGAAATGTATGGCTGGAGTTTGATGGACGTTGGAGTCGGTGGATTCATCGCCATAAACGGCGCTCTCTCACCTGAAGCAAGAATCAACTATGACCTAAACATTTCGAGACTGGGCTTAATTTTCAAATCTATCAAGTCTGCCGCTCCAATGATTATTCTTGGACTAGTGCGCCTTGCATCAGTGAAAAGTCTCAACTATCAGGAACATGTCACTGAGTATGGTGTTCACTGGAACTTCTTTTTCACCATCGCCTTTTCAAAGCTATTTTCATCAGCTCTCTGTTTTCTTCTGCCAAAACGAGTCAATTTATTTGTCCTTTCAATTGTCATGCTGGCTGTTCATCAATACTTTCTTACATTTGGCGGTTTGACTGNTTCTTTTTTACCATCGCCTTTTCAAAGCTATTTTCATCAGCTCTCTGTTTCCTTCTGCCAAAACGAGTCAATTTATTTGTCCTTTCAATTGTCATGCTGGCTGTTCATCAATACTTTCTTACATTTGGCGGTTTGACTAAATACATCCTCTCACCAGAACGAAACAGTTTAATATCAGCCAATAAAGAAGGCATAATCTCCACCATTGGATCTGTTTGTCTCTATTTGTTCTTTGTCCAATATGGTCGTAGTTACTTACCGAAAAGGTTTGCTTGCGTATTAATGTTTATTCAATCAACTAATTTGTTTGTCATCCCTATTTAGAAAACAACTCTTTGAATTTAAATCGATGACCATCCGAGTTATTCTTATTGTCATTACTTCTACCGTTTTCATGTTTGCTTCTCACGAGCACATCGAACCTACATCTCGTCGTACCGCCAACTTTTCGTTTGTCTGCTTCATGATTGCCCTCATCTCTGCTTTAATTGTCATTGAGATTACTTACTTTGCCTTTCTTCAAGTATTAACCGCCCAGTTCCGCAAGAATCGCGCTAACCTTGTCAAATTCATTGACCCCCTCGATGCGCGCTATAGCAGTGCTATTTTTGAGTCACTCGGACGGGCTGGACTGTTAATGTTCCTTGCCTCCAATTTACTTACCGGTGCAGTGAACTTTTCGTTTGACACGCTTAGTATAAGTTCACCCAGTGTGACGCTAACCATTTTGTTAATTTACTGTGCCCTAATAACTGCCATTTGTTTGTTTCTATGCAAAACAATCTACAGAGATCGACAACCGAAAAAAGCGACAACAT